GCCGCGCGGCGGGGGGGGGGGGGGGGGGGTGTTGGCCCCCCCTGCCACTGCCTCTATCAGATGCAGCAGGCAGCAGCATAGAGTACCAGGGGGCTCCCCAGGAGTGGGGCCAGAGTGCACTGGCTACCAGCCCCACACCCAGGGACTATAGAATAGTTGACTAACCGCTAAGAATTCATGCAGTTACTCCAATATTCTAAAACAAAAAACAGGACTGTGTAGCACTTTAAAGACTAATGAGATGGTTTATTAGATCATGAGCTTTCGTGGGCCAGACCCACTTCCTCAGATCAAATAGTGGAAGAAAATTGTCAGCCATATATACCAAAGGATACAATTTAAAAAAATGAACACATATGAAAAGGACAAATCAAATTTCAGAACAGAAGGGGGATGTAAATGTCTGTGAGCTAATGATATTAGAGGTGATAATTGGGGAAGCAGGACATACCACACTAACACCAACCCTGGTACCTTCCCTTGCAACAAACCCCGTTGCCAGCTTTGTCCACATAGTCACTCTGATATAACTCACTTGGTTGGGTCCAATGATGGTATCAGCGGAGTGAATATGTGGACAAAGCTGGCAACGGGGTTTGTTGCAAGGGAAGGTACCAGGGTTGGTGTTAGTGTGGTATGTCCTGCTTCCCCAATTATCACCTCTAATATCATTAGCTCACAGACATTTACCCCCCCCCCTTCTGTTCTGAAATTTGATTTGTGCTTTTCATGTGTTCATTTTTTTTAACTGTATCCTTTGGTGTATATGATTGTGACAATTTTCTTCCACTATTTGATCTGAGGAAGTGGGTCTAGCCCACGAAAGCTCATCACCTATTAAACCATCTTGTTAGTCTTTAAAGTGCTACACTGTCCTGTTTTTTGTTTCAGCTGCACCAGACTAACACGGCTACATTTCTACCACTATTCCAATATTCTACCACCCGCTAACATCCCTAGTATGCAATTCACAGCACTGGAGGACCACCTCATCCAATTTTATTATTGGCCTCCAGAGCCTAGCAGCCTCCCTAGCCTATTCTTGCTAAGGAATAAGAGGCTCAGTTTTGTGTTCAGAGCTATGTTATACCAAGATGAAATTAAATTAAATTTCCTGATACCTAATACTTTAAGACATTTTATTTTTGTTAGCATTCCACTCTGCTTATCATCCTCAACATGTATAGTCTCAAGATAAGAGTCCGCACATTAGTATGACAAGAAATTTACTTCCTTCTATTTCTTTTTATTCTGAATCCAGTGGATAACACAAGCTATAAAAATGGAGCAATTTCAACAAACTAGTATTGGAGGCAGAGCTGTGGGGTACCTTGACAAATGCTGATTTATTAATAGACTACCATCTCACTCTTGAGTCAACGTTACTGGCGCCCATGCAGACAAGTACTTCATTTTCATGGCCCAGATGTCCTTAACTGTGGGTTCCCCCAAGTATCAAATGTACCCCATGAGAGCATAACTAAGTTCAACAGAAGGGGTTCTTATTTTCCTATGGAGAGGAATTAGCTTCCACTCTTATAGCTGCACTCCCATCCGCTTCCCCTAACTTAAAAATCGTGATTTTACTTCTTAAAAAAGTCAGTTATTTTCCTGCATCCCAGACCAAAAAAAAAAAAAATTTAATAAAAATCCATTTTGTAAGCCATTAAAGAGAACACAATTAAACATCTTGACTTCTGAAGGACGAACAAACAAGTCCTAAAAAACTGGTAGTAACTACATCACTGACTTTCACAGCTTGTTGTCAAAAAGAGGTGACCACTCCCACTGAAACAATGTTAGTACTTTTAGTCTGTTTATTGAACTCTGACCTGATCCTGACAACACAGTACTTATGTTTCTTGTCTCTGGAACCATGCCCAATCAGAAAGCCTATAGGAAGAAAGGAGTTTTAAAGCTACATCTTATGGTCACTTGGGGCAAGGGAAGGAAAAGCCTACTACTACATAGATACTAGGGATGTTAAGTAGCAATTAATTTGCTAGTTGAGTAGTCGATGTAAATTCCATCAGCCACTCAACTAGTGGATAAGCACTTCCATGTTCCGCCTTGCAGGGGCTCTTACGCATTTCAAAGTTGGAACACTGAGTGGAGCCCAGGGACACCAGGGAAATCCCGTTGACTCCAGGATCCACGTGGGCACTTCTGCTTTGAATTGCACAAGTGCCATATGGAGCCTGGTGTCAGCAGGAGACTCAGAGTCCCATGCTGGCCCCAGGCTGCACTTCCTCTTTGAAATGCACAAGAGCCCTTGCTGGGGACTCTTTTACATTTCAAAGCTGGCATGTCACATGGAGCCCAGGCTCAACT